ACTATGCTTTGGTCTGCTATCTTCTCACCGAGGGCTTGGTGAGAACAGAAGGTCGAGGATTCTGTCGCAGAAATGAAATCATGGTTCAATATAGGAAGGCAACCATCAAGGTAAATTTTTTTCCAGGCCTGGAAAGACATTGCAATATTGCTGCAAGGTCTGAATTTCACAATGTGTCAACCCCTAAAATTATCTCCCGTAGAATCATAGCTATGACATTATGCGCGGCATTTTCAACGCGTCTTCGCAATCTTCAACATTGCTTACAATAACCTGGCAGAATTGCTTGCCTTCTGGCTATCCCACCTCTACCTTTAACACCACTATCTATTTTTCGATTTTTCTCCTCAGAAAGCAAAAGTACCAAGCTTTTGAAACTTTTTTTTTCTCCTTGCTACTTAATCCAGCTTCCATGGCGATTCTGGCTACGTGATTTTTAACATCAAGATTTGCCTACTGCGTCAAAAATAATACGGAAAATAGAACATCTTGTGATAACACGCCGATTGAAAACACAATGCGTGATGTGTGTGTTGGTCTCAAAAGGCATCGATTGTCAAACAAAACCGTTTAATCCCGTCGTAGAACGAATTGAAAGAGTTTCAAGCCAGTGCTATTATTGCTTAATTACTTCGCAAAACTTTTNTGGCAGAATTGCTTGCCTTCTAGCTATCCAATCTCTACCTTTAACACCACTATCTATTTTTCGATTTTTCTCCTCTGAAAGGAAAAGTACCAAGCTTTTGAAGCTTTTTGTTTCTCTTTGTTAGTTAATCCAACTTCGATAGCGATTCTGGCTACGTGATTTTTAACATTAGGATTTGCCTACTGCGTCAAAAATAACGGAAAATAGAACATCTTGTGTTAACACGCCGATTGAAAACACAATGCGTAATGTGTGTTGGTCTCCCACAGGCATCGATTGTCAAACAAAACCGTTTAAACCCGTCGTAGAACGAATTGAAAGAGTTTCAAGCCAGTGCTATTATTGCTTAATTACTTCGGAAAACTTTTCCGAAAAAAAAATCATGTACCAAATATGCCACTGACCTGGTAAGGCATTAAAAGGATCACTCATGTTCATGATCTGCAGTAGATGTCTAGAGTTGCCTCTCCTGAACTCCTGACCACGTTCAGCTTTACCATCTTCAGTCTGCGTTCGTTTGTTGATCTTTCGATGTCCTGGATTGGTATTCTCGCCATGGTCCTTGTCGTTCTTGACGTCTTGCATCTCAACAGCAAACATTCTCTCTTTTGGTTTATCGCTTTCATCAATGTAAAAGTCCTCATCGTTGTTTAAATCGTTTTCTGCTCCTATTTGAGATTCCACGTCCCTAATCTTCGGGGTTTTTCGAGTTTTAAAGACATAAATTGCATCTTTCGGTTTTTTGCTGGTCTTTCCTTTGGGAAATAAATGGTTTTTCCTGTGCGAGAGATCGATTTCTGCGTGAACTTTAAGCTTTTCAGATTGATGCGAGATTTGATTGTTAACTGCAGGACCTTTCTTTTTACTCGAAGAGGGTTTTTTCTGTTTTTCTCTGATAAT